ACATAATATGACAGCTTAGGAAGCAGGAATGGCACATATATACAAATATGTATACATATACATATACATATACATATACATATACATATACATATACATATACATATACATATACATATGTATGCATATACACATATACATATGTGTCTACATATAAGTGTGTATATGTATACACACATATTCAATAGTAATCCTGTGAACAACCTATCTGAACCTTGCTCTCTCCTGCAACATCCTCACTATATGAAATTCTCGAGTCTACTGTTACTGTATGCAGAGCAGATTATCCAAGAAGCTGGGCTCTATGAGAAGTGTGTCTTCAGGATTGGTGGAAGATCTATTAACAATCTGCATTATGCAGATAACACAACCCTGCTTGCTGAAACTGAGGAGGACCTCATGCACTTGCTGCGAAGTACTCTAAGGAGTACTCTGGTTGTACTTTTTCCAAGACAGACTTGTTAGTTCTTTTGGCAGTTCATGAGATATTACACACTCTTCTCCAACACCACAGTTCAAAGGCAACAAGTCTTCTCTTATTCATTGTCCAACTTTCAGATGCATAGAAAGTAATTTAAAAGATCATACTTGCGTCAGGTGCACCTTAGTCTTTAAACTGACAGCATAACTCTTTCGTATTTTGGAGAGGTCCTTGAGAGAAGATTGTCTTAGTGCAGCATGTCTTTTGATTGCTTGACCGCTGCAATCATGGGTATTTATCAGGAATCCAAATAAGATTAAATTGTTGACAATGTCAGTCTTTCTCTCATGATGTTGTCCAGTGGTGAGAATTTCTGTTTTCTTGATGTGGAAATGTAATCTATATCTGGAGGATATTCTATGATATTCTACCAGTGTTTCAAGTCCTCTTTTCTTTCAGTAAACAATATATGTCATGTACATGATGCAGATTGTTGTACGTTTAAGTAAATGTGTATAGATAAAATGTGTATGTATTTCCCTTATTTGCAACATGTAATATATAAACATGTATGTGTGGACGTTGTTGTTGTTGTTGTTATGTGCTGTTGAGTTGGAACTGACTGAAAGCTCTGCTCTGTCAGCAGGTTTTTAGCAGCAGTAACTCACAAAGGTGTAGATCGCCCATCTTTCTCCCACGGAGCAGCCGGTAGATTTGAATGCATTTGGGTTAGAAGAACAGCTCCTTATCAGCCAGGAGCCAGAGCACCCTTCTCCACAGGGGAAAGCTGCCGTGCAATTTCTTGCCTCTGAAAATCCATTGGAAGGTCACCTGTGAGTTTGTTCTGACTCAAGGTTCAGAGCAACAACATGTGTATCTTTCTTCCATGGAGCCATTGGTGGATTCGAACCATCAAAGAAGCATCCTCTTTAGGCTAGCAGTACAACTCTCTGTGGACTAACCAGGCCACCAGCAGTGTGTGTGTGTGTGTGTGTGTGTGTGTGTGTGTGTGTGTGTGTGTATAAGTGCATGTGTGTGTATATTTGTATATATCTATATGAAATTCTCTGGTAAGAAGATGTATTATAATCCCAAAGGCACATGGTTTGAATCCACCAGTTGCTCTGGGGGAAAAGGGTGGGAAATCTCCTCCTCGATGATTTACTGCCTTGAAAACCTGCTGGAGGGTCAGTTACAAGTCTTTTCTGATCTGACAGCATGCAACAATAAGTCTAACAATAAGCACACACATACACACACACATGTAATAGTTTGTTAGCCTGGATATTTTTTCCCATAAGGTTTTTTCACCAGTGAAATTCCATGATAAATGTCTTCTCTATTACAACCCTTTACCAAGTGGTTAAAATTGTGGCCAATTAATACAAACTATGAAATTTGGAACAATTTGTTTGTACTCTTAATTTTTATTTATTATTAGATTCTTACGTGAAATAACTTAAATAACTGTCCAGTATTATCTTTGTGAACTATTCTTATCACTAAGTAAATGTAGGTTTGTCCTATTTGTTAAAAATAATTCCGGTGAACTCATAGGGACGTGGGAGCAGAATGAAGTGGATGGTTCTGGGAACGTGGAATTTTAAAATAATAATTATTGACTAAAATAAGCTGAAATTAAAATTTCATATGAAAATATATTAAATGACATGAAATAGAAGCATGCAGTTTAGTTAATATAATCCTGGCTAAAAATGTTTGTGTAAATATTAACAACAGAACAAACAAAAGAAAATTCTTTATGCAGACTCCAAATATTCACTGATTTTCATTAAACCCAATTCTGATTCTGGGCACCAGGGATACAGTAGTTGGAAAAAAAAGGCATTTATCTTAAGAGCTTTGCTAAGGCACCCTGGTGGCACAATGGTTGAGTAGTTAACAATTGCACAGAAGCTAGGTGATTGAACTTACCTGATGCCTTGAGGGTACGATGACCTGGTGGTTTTCGCTGGGATAGGATGAAGCCTAGAGGCCCAGTGAGACAGCTCTGTTCTGAATTATGGGGCCCTGTGAGTCAAATTTGTTTTGGTGGGTGCGGCATAATCTCAATAAACAGTGCATAGTGGGGATCTGAGGTCACTTAACTGATAGGGAAGCCGAGAGTCAGGGAAACGGGACCAGGGGCTCAGTCAGAATTGAGACCAATTTTCCAGGTTCAGAAGCCAACCTCTGAGCCTAAATGAGGTGGTGGGAAGACGGCGGTGGAAGGAGAGGAGTGGACGCCTCCTTCTGCCTTGGTGTCCTCAATGACTAGAGTAAGGGACTGCTCCTGCGGGCACGTTGCTTCTCCCTGAACCTTCAGCAAGGTACGCCAGCTCTCTGCAGTGTGTGAGCCCTTTTCCATGCACCACTCTGGGGGACTCCCTGACGAGGCATCTGTCCTTACAGAGGCGTGTGTTCCACTTGGCATGGATGGGCTTTGGCCTTGGTCAGTCTTTCCAGTTTAAGTTCTGTTTAAATTTTTATTGTATCTCTTATCTGACACTCAAAGACATTTATTTCTAATGTATGGATATAATTTGGCCAAATCAAACATTGGCTTGAAAATATATTTTTTACTTAAAAATAACATCTTTTGGGGGTACAGAATACAATAGTTATACAGAATTAGCGTTACCTGGTCAGTTTTGGCTACATCACCCTGTTATTTCATGAGAAGGCTGGTCTTTAGGGTGGAGTTCCTGTCATTTGTACTCCCTCTGGAGCAGAGCCCTCAGGGCCAAGTCCTGCACTTCCCTTGTCCTTGGAGGCTGCTTTTCCTCTTCTTCTCTTTCATGGTGTTTTGCTTTTTTTAAAAAAAAACCCACTGGCACTAGCAGAAAATCACTTGAAGACCTTGGATCATGGCTTTCCCCCTGACATCCCCTGACCGAGCTCCGTCTTATCTGCTGAGCTGTCGTCATAAGACCCCTGAGCTGGGGACATGCGGGATACACCTCCAGGGCATCTAACACATCCCATTCCCCCTCTCCTCTCAAAGGCATCACATCGCATCTCCTTAAAAGTACATCAAAAGCCCATTTTCCTCGGTCCATGGCACGCGTGTCTGCATTTTCTTTCTTTGTGGCACTTCTGTCACTCCTGCTCCTTGCTGTTTCTAAGTGTTTTCCATGCTGGTCAAGTCAGCCTCTGTTTCAGTCCTGCGGCGTCTTCTCAGCCACCTACCTCCTGCAGGGGGCCACTTGTGTCTCATCTCGTCTTGAACCAGGACTCCGTTGCTCTTACCATCACTGAAGTAATTGTCCGTTTTCAAGTTTACATTCTGCTGCTCACCTGTGCCGACTGTGCCTGGATTATGCTAATGCTATCATAAAAACTCATTGCTTATATCATAAAGCAGCTTTTTATCAGGAGGAAAATCAACATAGTCTTCCCTTCTGAGATTTTTAGATAGCCTCCCCTAGCAGAAAGGGAATGGTCTCTGTGTTACGATCTGAGTTTGAATTCCAATTCCATGACAAAGGAGCTGATGGCCTCTGGGAAATGTTGCTGGATTTCTAAGTTTTTATTTAGCATCCCTGGTTGCACAGTGGTTAAGCACTTGGCTTCTAACTGCAAACTCAGTAGTTCAAATCCCCAAGAGACTCTAAGAGAAACGACCTGAAGATCTACTACCTGAGAGTTGCCACCGAGCAGGTGGGCTTCGTCCCATGGAGTCTGTTGGGTTCAGAATTGATGTGGTTTCATCTAATAGCAGTAGCAGACCTTCTGCTGTGTAGAAATAAATAGTAAGTAGCCCGCCAGCATGCAGGTTTGGTGTGTGTTTCACTGACCAGTCCATGAAGGGATATCTCATGAGGAAACTCTCTTATTCACACTTAACATTAAGTGTTGGGTTAGGATTAAATGGAAGGAATCCCCTCCCCTGAGGGTGGGAGAGAGTGGCGCAGGGTGGGAATGTTGGTCACTGGGAAGCTGAGACTCACCTTGTTCAAGCTCCAGTATCTGGCACTTGGGGATCAGATTCAAGCTCACTGTCCTCGACCTGGTTTTGAGTCATCGCCGACAACTCACAGTGACCCTCCATCAGGTTTCATAGGCCACAAATCACAATGTAGAGAGGGTGCCCCTCTCTCTCCTGTTCAGTCCTTGGATTTGCACCCCAGAGCTGCAACACAGTTCCCAGCCAGCTGTGCCACCAGAGGGCACTCAGTGAGGCCAGACTGATATCGCCCTTGGTGGGCAGGCTCCTCCCCTGTGATTTGCAGCTTCTGAAAGGCGCACAGGAAGCTCAGCTGTGAGTCAGTTCTGACTGCATGGCAGTGAATTTCTGTTTCACTGTTACGACCTGGCTCTTTTTATTGTCATGTGGACCCCCACCCAGGTGAATTAACAGCTGTTGTAGACAGCATTGTATTTAACTGAAGGACTTGCCTGTGGCCTGGCGCTTGGTGGTGCAGGCTTTAAAGTACTCAGCTGTTAACTGAAAGATTGATGTTTGGAGAGAAAGATGAGGCTGTCTGCATGTGTGTGTGTTTGCGGCCTTGGAAGCACGGTGCATCACCCCCACGCCCCATCTTATCAGGTGACTGTGGGTCAGAATTGAGGGTTGGCCATGGCTAAAGGTTGAGAGAAAAGGCTCAGAAGCAGCTCAACAGGGGCCCGGGAGGCCTTTAAGCTGGGACTGCCAGTGCTTGGTGGCCAGAGACCCAGCCTCACGCTGGAACCCACGCCATCATAAATCGGTGTGCATGCCTCCACTGTCACACGGTGACTGCTGCCGTGACTGGTTTCATCATGAAGGACATCATACGCGGGTGTGTGCTTGTGCAGGTCACAGTGAGCCCCTTAGAGAAATCACTGGAATCCCACAGTTGTAATGAAGTCACGGTGCCTCCCTTCCCCCTGCTCCCCAGAAGGATGGCAGGTGCAGATGTGCTGGGTGGTCACTTGCCAAGCTTGGAATGGAAACCTCATGAGAAACCCCCCCTTGTTTGCACATAACACTAAGTGGTGGGTTATAAGTGGATGTAAATGCTGCTAAGTCCTCAAGGGACGCGTGAGGGGCGGTGGGGATAGACAGGTTCAGAATTGTTGTCGTTGGCTCTTAAAGTCGTTGAGTCCAGCTCACTTTCTCTTCTTCCTGCCTGTTTTCTTGTTTAGTGTTCGTCAGGTTCAACTCCAGCCATGGCTTCCCCGTGGAGGTCAATTCCGACACCAGCATCTTCCAGCTCAAGGAGGCGGTTGCTAGGCGACAGGGGGTTCCAGCTGACCAGTTGCGTGTGATTTTCGCAGGGAAGGAGCTTCGGAATGACTGGACACTGAAGGTGAGTGTCCCTTAGTGGCCAGTTTCTGGGAGGCGGCCAACCTCACAGCTCACACCGCCTCTGCTTCCAGTCTGACATTCGCGCCTTAGATCTAACAGAATAAATAGTGCCTGGGGATTCCTTGAACTTTACTCCACTCTGCTTCATTAATTCTGACCTTCTTAATTATGCATTAAAACAGCAAGTAGGAAGGGCTGGAAGAACTATGATGAGTGAGACAGAGATGGGGAGACACAGCACCCAGGCTGGGCTCCGCAAATAAATATTTACTGACTCCAGGAGCTGCCGTGCGCGCAATTTCTGTGTCTGTTCCATTTCTACCTTACTTATTCCATTTGAATCTTAATGAAGAGGGATCGGAATAAATTGTTCCCAGGCAGGCTGCTCCCTCGGTGCTTGTAGAGGGATTTGTAACCCAAGGGTGACCCCTGGAGGGTCCAAGTGGCTGCAGCTCTGGATCTGAGCCCAAGGAGAGCCAGCTCCAGGTCTGAGTCCAGCTCTCAGGAATTCTCAGGACTTCCCCCGCACAGAGCAGAGACACATCCACAGCTCCTGGCAGGGAAGGAAGAGCAGGGTGGTGGAAACACCGTAGTGTTCACTTCTGATCTCCCTCCTAGATTAGGGCCCCTAAAGTGTGGGGTGAGCGCGGTGTGTTCCAGGAGTCCACAGCTGCCCCACCTCAAAGCCTGGCCTCTTGTGCAGCTGGGAGTTGCATTCGAAGCCTGGATTTGTATAGAGGCTTGAGAACTGACCAGGTGATTGGTAAGCAGAACTTCTGTCACCCACAAGCAGAGAATAGCCCTGTGTCCGGGGAGTCAGCATTCACTGAAGATGCGACAATCTGCTTGTCCTCCAGAGAGTGAAAATAGGCTGCTCTATGGAGGCAAGGATTTTGAAGCTCCATCGCACATACTTGGGGCATGTTGCCAGGAGGGACCAGTCCTTGGGGAAGGACATCATGCTCAGAAGGATGGGGGGACAGTGCAGAAGAGGGAGACCCTGGATGAGACGGATTGACACTGTAACTGGGGCAGTGGGGGTTCAGTATGTTGGAGACAGTGACATTGGCTCAGGACAGGGCAGAGCTCAGGGCTATTGCTCATAGGATCACTAAGAGTCATAGAAGACTCAATGGCACAACAACAACAACAATATCAAGGTCACAGTCCTGGGAAGGCTAGGGGTGGTCTCCCTACGTGGACAGGGTTTCTGTGAGTCAGAAGCACGTGAAAGCATTGAGTTTTGGTTTTCTTTTTCTCTTTGTTTGATTTTATCTCAAAGACGAGGGTAAATTTTGCTGAGTGTGGGATCCTCTTAGAACTCAGAGCATTGGCGTAGTTTAAGAACTGTTCATGAGGGGAAAAGTGTCTCAGCATCCACGTGACTACATGCTCTCTGCAGGGGGTGGTGCACGTGACTATGGGGGAGCCCCCACAAACTCATCCCCCGCCATGTTCCAGAACCAACTGAGCTCCTGGCACTCGTGTTCCTGGCCAGGTGGGAGTGGCCCCTGCATCTGGGAGGTGGGAGTGGCCCCTGCATCTGGGAGGTGGGAGTGGCCCCTGCATCTGGGAGGTGGGAGTGGCCCCTGCATCTGGGAGGCCGGAGTGGCCCCTGCCTCTGGCTGCACAGAGCAGGGCGTGGTATCAACCTCCCATCAGGCATCACTCACTGTCTCTTCAGGGTTATGATACTGCTTTCGGAAATACTTTCTGATTTGGAGCACACAATAGAAGCGATAAATATACCAATTTCCCTTGTCATTCTGCCGCTCTGTGCCCACTGACGGTGGCTTTGGACAGACCTCCTGTGCTACTGGGGTTGATTTTAGGGAACTTGTTTTTAAAAGGGAAGTACATGTACAAAAGAGCATTTTTCTTTTATGTATGTCTATTTAGGTCAGTCAGCTAAAAAGCTTTTTTGTTATACCTAACAATTCCAGAATGCTTCCTCCACATGTAAATATGAGCCACAATATTGTATATTATCAGAACCCACAGATTGTTCTAGAACTCTTCACTCAGCCACTTGACCTGAGTGGTCAAACAGTTAGCAACAATTTTACGTTCTCATTCTGCTAAAACACTTGCTGCAGGTAACTGATTTATATGTATAGAGAGATATAGTTGTTAATTGCCTTCAAGTCAAGTAAATAAATTAATATTTATAACATATCTAGTTTTTATTTGGATTTTTTTTTAATTTGATGAGTGATTTTAAAGTATTTTCAGTGTTCTGGGCTCTCCAGACATCTAAAAAGTGAACAAAGCTCACACTTTCATTAACTAAAAGTGGCAAAAACCAAGCCAACCATCCTCAAGTTGATCCCAACTCTTATCTACCCTAGAGGACAGTTGATGACCCCACAGGACTTCCTAAACTGCAGAGTTTACAGGAAACTCCAGAAGATTGCTCTGCGTTTCTCCAGCAGATCGACTGATAGACTCAGACCAACACCTAGCATTTGAGGGACTTTTACCTCTGTGTCACTGAAGCCTTATATTCTTTCATTAATGTTGTGAACCATCGAGTCAGCAACAGGTTCTCAGAGGCTGTAAATCTCACAGGATGAGATTGCTTCCTTTTCTCCCTCAAAGCACCTGGTGGATTCAAACCATATACCTTTGTGTTGGCAGTACAGTTCCTTACCATGAAGCCGCAGCCTCTTTCATTTGGGCCTCTAAAACCCATAGGACTTTGAGATTGAACCCTATGGCACGACTATAATTCATAAGTAAAAACTGTCAGCAGTGAAGTCTGGTTTGACCTACACCGACACAACATCAGGCCGTCCAATGGGTTAACTGCCACAAGGCAACAAATGACACACAACATCACACAGTTTTCTAGGTGAGGGAATCACCTGTTTTTTAGAGTCTGTGGGAAAGGTTTCAAGGGAGAACAGACATTCAGGCAGAATTCCAAAGATGGGATCAGAGTCTGTGCCTGGGCTTTGTTCTTCTGGAACTGAGGAGAGAGGTTTGAAGAGTAGATGAGAAAGGAGTTTGGAGCTGTGTTTGAAGGAACCTGGGCTGACTTGACTTTGAGGCTTCATGTCAAGAAAACAGGTGTAGAGGTGAGGAAGCACGGAACACTATGTTGGACTCAGTTTGAAGGTTGGTGGTTTTTTATATACACGATCAGGGCTGATATGATGTGATGATATCTAGGGGTCAATTGGGAATTTCTGTCTGGCTGGTGATAGCCCTCCCTTGAGTTTCCAAGATTGTCGATCTTTGTGGGTAGAGATTGCCTCTTTTATCCCCCCAAGGAGAATCTGGAACTTAGGGCCTTTGGTTTAGCATCGTGATGTTACACACTGGGGTTCTTTTTATTATTATTATTATTTATTATTAATTATTAACTTTAATGAAAGTTTACAGAGACTTAGGGTTTCAGTCATTCATTGTTGCACTTTTCTCCCTGCCCACTCCCTCCCCCCATTCACTCTTCTCCTTGAAAAGAAAAACTCTTTCATTGTTATGCAAATCCCAGGGCTCTTTTTTTAAGGACTGTTTATGTAGAGGTGAATGTTGCAGGTTTGGATAAGGTGTAACTGCCATATAACAGTGTGCAAGAGGTTCTGTGGATGGCAATTCCTTCTTTCAGGTAACAAGAGAAAAGGCCCGCCAAGGCAGCCTCATCTAGACAGCTGGCAGTTCTGAGGATGTCTCATAGATCCTTAAATTCTGAAGCAAAAGGTGAATTTAAAAAATTTCCTGTCTTTTCAAATATTGTACAAGTGTATAAAGGAGGGGAATCAATGTGTAACAATGCTCTGAATGAAAGGGGAACAGAAACAAAAGAACTGCTAAACAGCAGGTGTGTTGTGAAAAGACGAAGGAAGGAAGGAAATGGTCTTAGGGACTATGGTAACTTTGGGTCATTGAAGGCCAAGGTCCAGCCTAGTGGCTGGTGAAAGCCCGACCACAGGGGCTGGACTGTGAGCAGTGCAGCAGGAGCCAAGAGATGTTTGTGCCATGTATGGACACTCTTGTTAGGGATGGGAAGGAGAGGCCAGGTCCGTTCATGGTGGGAGCAGCACACCCACGCTGTATTCTGCTGCCTCCTTTAGGCCTTGGCTGCATCCACAGTCATGTAGAGACGTAGTCAGTATAAAAGTGCAATCTCAGTTTAAAAGTCTAAACATTTTACATGTACACTTTTAAAAATATATATTTGGATAGATATAGAGATATAGACAGAGATATAGACAGAGATAGATAGATAGATAGATAGATAGATAGATAGATAGATAGATAGATAGATAGATATTTACAAATTAAAGCACCTCTCAGCCTCTCAGCTGTTTGGAGCATAGGCCTTCCATGACACACAGGGAACAGATTAAATGATGCCAGAGTTGATTTTGACTCATTATAGCAGAAGCAAGCATTGCCAGACCATGCACCATTTGCATGACTATTACTTTGCCTGAATCCACTTTTTTTTATCATTTTTGTTTATTATTGGTTTGATTACAAAGTTCATATACCTTGTGTTTCACACTATTCTTCTTCACATCATGCTTCATACAGTAATTCCCACGCATTGTGTTTTATACAATTAATCACCATTGGATGTTGCCCATCATTACCTTGTCTTTTCGGGTCCCCACCAGATCCTTCCCATTTCTTTCAACCCCTCCACCCACCAAATTGCGCAACCCTGTGCTTTCACTCTCATCCATCATGTTATAGTTTTACTTAATTATATGGCATTAGTCTCCATTCCTAATTGTAAAACTGATACTCTGTGAAATGTTTACACCATGTTATTGTTATGTGCCATCTAGTCACCCATGACTCCTAATGACTCCATGTGCAATAGCGTTTAACCCTGCTCTATCTCGAGCCAGTCTTACTGACCCTGACGTACTTAATCCTATTGCTCCGATTACCATGTCAATCCATCTCACCCAGGTCTTTCTTTCTGGCACTGTACCTCCACCTTTCCAAGCAGGATGTCCTTCTCCAAGGACTGGTCTCTCTTGGCCATGT